TTGACGTGGTTTAAACAGGATGGCGTTTTATCACAACAGAATGTAACTTTATCTCCGGTAGAATTCTGATCAGGCATTAGCTCCGCCTCCTCTTTTTTTTTTTCAATCTTTCAAAGCTTCGCCGGTTCACTTGAATGGGGTGACGTAGAATATTTTTGAATCTTCGCCTAACTGCATTGTGGGGAGCGGAGCATGGATTTGCAAGCATCGTGAGCATCAAAAGTTGAGCAATGTTCAACTTTTGATGCTCCCGATCAGAGGGATCTAGGGCTCTGCTCCCGATGCTTTCGAAGCTGGCATCAGCCAATCAAATCCCGTTTATGCAAATCCCGCCACAAGCGCTAGCCAATCAAACCGCGTGCAAGCTGGGAGAGCCAGACCGCAGTTCATTTCCTCATATTCCAAACGAGAAATTACGGTAGCAAATCACCCGGTTCTTTCCGACCAGAACTATTTACCGGGATACAAACCGGAGGAACCAGGCATGGAGGGAGGGTAGCAGAGACAGTGGGTGAAACTGGTAGGTTTTCGCCTGTTTGGGGAGTTTATATCCAGTTTACTTCGTTTTAACATTTATATTGCTTTGTATGTCGGGGGCGGGAGATTCATGTGATTGGTTGTTGGTCGCGTTGCTCGCAAAAAATCGCCAAGCTTCAGACACGCCCAGCATCAAGATTTTTCAAGATTTTTTTCATGCCTGTCGGTTCGGCCGGTCCACACACAGGCATATACCAATACCAACTGTTTGGTATTTTGAAAGCAAAACTTCACAGACATGTTTTGTATAGGTATGGCCCTACAATACATTTTTTCAAATATAGCATGATAGGTCCACTTCAAGCCAAATCACATCTATGCAATGGTGTATTATATAAAACCATCTCTATTATAGTAGCATGAGACTACACCAGTGTTTCATAGAGTGAAACGCATGTGGTTCGACAGCAATACATTTTAATAAATTAGACTTGATTACACTGTATATAATGTTTTAAAACACATTTTTGTTTAAGAATTCATGGTAACATGGGGTGAGTATTTAAAATACATATTATTATCAACTTTACATTTTAGCTTATTTACTCATAAGATACCGGAAAAATGTTTCATTGTGATTTGAAGCCACATTTGAAGCCTCTTAAAGTTTCCATCATTGTGCTGAAAACCTTCCTTTCTCCCATCCTCGATCCTGTTCTCCCTCTCTTTACATCTGAATCTCCTCCTTCATCCTATTCTCTCCTTCCTTCAGTCTGACACCCTCTCACCTCCCTCTTCCGTTGACCTTTCCTTCTCTTTACTTAAGTGTTGATTGCTCATTTTCTCTCTCTCTCTCTTCCTTTCTCCATGCACTGCTCTTTCAATCTCTTTCAATCTCTCTATTTCTTGTCTCTCGCTTGTCTTTCACCTTCTCCCCTGCCAGAAGTTGATGACCAAGTCCTCCTCCCTTTGACTTATCAGCGCACACACACACACACACAGACACACACACACACACAAACACTCAACAGTAGGTTACTCTGTGTCAGCGACTGTTCTCTGCTGAGTGGCTTGTGGGCGGCGTGATGATGTCGTTGTTACTGTGGCGATTTCTGTTGCCGAGGAGACGTTTCTACGACAACAGACTGTGGCATAGAAGCACAGACACTGACAGACGGCCACACACACACCTAAGGGCCGAGAGAGAGAAAACAACGTGTCAACAAGCTGTAAATTACACACACGCGCACATATTTAGAACTGGACATACAGGCTGTTTACCTATATGCACTCCCACATGTTCATCAGGTCATCTGGGAGAGTAACCACACTTTAATGTCGGTATTTGACACATGTTGGAGTCACCTTTTGACCTTTCATTCACACATGAAAACTCGAAGAGGCAGAGGACAATGGAAATGTAAAAAATAGAAGAGCATCATACAGAAGAATCTAATTCCCTAAAGTTAAGTGGGCCTCACACAAGATATGAAACAAGATTTTTTTTATATCAAATAATGGGATTTTCCACACATGAAGTCTTCTGTGAAGTGATTTATCTTTCTTTTTGGTTTGTTTCTCTCTATTTTTCTTTCTAACTTGTATGTGGGGGTGGAGTTTTGGTATTTGTGATGTTCATGTGGTAGAATTATCTTTGTTTTCAATTGAAAACAGAGGAACAACATGAAATGTTAGGTGTTGTAACGCATGAGACCTTTTCATTGTTTACACCACCTGTTGCTCCCTATAAAACTGACCAGGATAAAAATATAATAGCTTGTGTCATTATATGCAGTCATTAGATTATCAGACCTTATAGGACAGGGCTTCTCAAACTCCGGACCGAACTGCAAATCAATCCGGACCGAACCCTGTGTCCCATTATAAAAAATAAAACATAATAAAAAATTAAAACGTTCTGATGTAAATTAATGTATATTTTCTTGTGTCTGACGCGTTGTGAGAATGAACGTATATACTGTATTTACTTGTGTGCGCGAGCGTGACACGCATTGCAGACTGCAAGTTAACCGCCGAGTTTACCTTGACTTTCTAATGCTTCTAATGCCTTTGTTGCCGAGGTTCAAGGCATTGGCTACAGACAAACAGTGCCATTTCTCCCACTAGTTCAAGCCACCATACTGTATGTATGTATTGAATGTGTGTGTGTATACAGGGGCGCCGTTTGCCAACAGGCAAGACAGGCAAGTGCTTGGACCAGAAGGGGGCCCCCAAAGAAGGTAGATTTAAGAAGGTCCACAGCAACGACAACATGAAACACCCTTTAATTTACTGCAACGACATGTCGGGAAGCATGTCGTTGCCCCATGCATAGCGCGCCGTAAGAAACTGCTTCTTCATTTCAGTTTCGTTGCTCCGCTCCGCTCCGGGGACTTTGCTGGTATTTATCCGGACCAGTGACCTTGTATAAAATTCACAAGTGGACCTTTAATAAAAAAGTTTGAGTACCCCTGTTATAGGAATAGGTTATCTTCTTAATAGTACCAGCATATTAGGGAGCCACTCCAAGTGAGAGTGCTTCTTGGATCAATGCTAATCAGCCTTTTAGTGGAAATATGTTCAAATGTTCTGAGATCTGACAAGGTGTCTTTATGTATTCTTGGCTTTGAAAGGAGTATTTTAACAAGCCAACAAATCAATCTGAGATGAAGACTGAAGAGAAAAAAGTATATGCTGCCAGAAGAAAGCAGAGAATAGGGTTTAGGAAACAAACTATAGAAATAGCTGTTTCTGAAGATCATAAATGAACATTTGAAGACAAAAAAACTGTTTAAAATGTCTTCCATTTTAAAGTCGCTGCAGTATGGTTGATGTGAATTACATGCCATTGAATAATAAAATCACTCTAATCTGATAGCCAGTTCAAGGAAAAGGAAACAAGGAGAAAGGGAATAAAAGAGTGAGAGAGTAATAACACCAATCAGACATCATTAGCAGAGCAGAGACCAGTAATTGGAGATGTGAAGTGTGACTCATTGACAGCTAGCAAGACCTGACACACACACACACACAAACAAAAACCATCAACCACTTGTAACACCCTCGTTCTTCCTTTCTTTCTTTCTGTAATCATGCTGCACTGACACACACATACATAATCACTCTCCCATTTTGAATTCACACAGACACACTATATTATTGCACATGGCTGTATTCTCCACGTCTTTCTTTAATCTTTATATACAGGCCCACACGCGATCACACACACACTTTCTCACAAACTCGAGACAACACATTTCCACTCTCCTTTGCCAGCTTGACATTCACAGTGCTGCCAGCTCCGCCACATAAGAGCTCCTTCCTGTGCTGCTCGCCCACCTGCTGCATCGCACACCATATTACCCAGACAGAAAGCATCTTTTCAACCTTTCGGAGTGAAAAACACTTAACGGAAAGTGCCATTTCTCCTGTGAGCGTCACTGAAATGTCCTCCTTCAGCATGCATCCTCTTTCACATACATAGGGAGAATGTTATTACGCAGGTGGATATGTGTTCGTGCTTCTGACCTTTTGGTGTTGGTTTGCTACCTAAAGAAAGTCACAGGCGTGTGATGAGTCATTTTTTCTACCAACTAAAGTAACGTTACTTTAAAAAGGTGGTTTTCAAACAAAGACATTTGACTGTAAGTTGACTTAAATATGTAAGATAAGGTTTCAATCCACAGGCTACACTGACTTAAAGTGGACCTATTATGCTATATTGGGAACATATATTGTAGGGCCATACCTATACAAAACATGTCTGTGAAGTTTTTTGCTTAAAATACCAAACAGATCACCCATTGTAGCCATGCCTCATACTGCTACAACACATCCTCACTCCCAGGTCGGCCTATGTTGACGTTATGTCAAGTCCCCTGTCGGCTTTTTCCAACGCAAGGGGGGGGGCCTTAGCGTCCATTTTCAACGCAAGGGGGGGGCCTTAGCGTCCATTTTCAGCTTTCCGGGATGTCCATATGCTTCTATGGACGCTCATGGAAGCACGGCGTTCGTTTGTGTCGACTGCCCTTAAAGGCAATGTGAGCGTCCATTCTCATTGGATAACGGAGAATTGTACACCCGGAAGTAAGTATTCCCCTTACTGTCGATTGATTTTACAGTGATATCTGCACTACTCATCGACTAAAAAACACCAGATTATCCTTGTTAATTACACAACATTGATTGGTTTAAATTGTGTGCAATGCTTTTGTATTTTTCCCCTTCGATTCGGAGAAACAAATGTTTTTTCGGAGTAAAGGATGGCAGAAGACACTACACTACCCAGAATCCCCAGCTATCGTTAAGCAGGTTAAGGCGGGCTTGCCTAGGCGACCGCCTAGTTCGTCAGTGCCAAGGGCCGGCCCTGAATACAATATACACATCTTGGTTGCTTTGGCTCTGCTAGTACATTAGTAGGGTTCTTGTTTCAGTTTTTGTAACATTTTTACATATTAATTTGTGTTTTGGTGTTAAGCAAATGTAATAGTAATCAGGCCAACACTTTTTTATGACTTGTAGACATTTATTGAAATTTAAAGCCTTTGTGAAACACACTTTTTATAAATAACAGTTAAACCCAAAGTTTATATTTGGCCAATTTTGTTCCGTATAAATAAGAAGAAGTGCTATTCAGCTTATACCCAGCAGTCAGTTATGCTCTCTGAATACATACATGTGAAAAAACATAACAAAACTCCTTCATATTTCCAAGTTAACTATAATGTTTCTGTTAAATAAACGAGGTTTGGTTGCTGCTGTCGGGTCATGGGGCCTTCATGTACTTGTTTTAACTGTGATTGGGTCTCTCATTCGGCTGCGTCTCCACAATACTCAGTTGCAAACCTTCATCTCTCTGCTCACACTCCTCCTCTAGTCGTCCTCTCCTGTCCACTCTCTGTTCTCCATCACTGCCCTGTGCCTGGTCTCTAACATGCACTCCATCACTTTCTTTTATCTCGTTTCCCACGCCTTTGTTGTTTGTACATCCTGGTTCAGTTCTCAGTGTTCTCAGATTGGCACTAGCCTTGATAAAGTAGTCCTCTAGCTCTGCCAGAGGTCCCTTATCAGAGAACAGATGGTGCAGGTATGCCTGGGCGTATTGATCTGAGGTGATAAGGTCCAGGTTAATGGAGGAGGAGGAGGAGGGCACAGTTGGCACAGGGGTGGCGTCAGTCCCAGAGACTCTCATTCTTCTCCCTGTTAAGTTCAACTTAGATCAGTTAAATGCAACTTGACTGAGACGTCTATTTTTTTATAATTTCAAGAAACTCTACCTGTCTCTTCCTTCATGGTGGATAGAGAGAGGGTGACACTCTTTCCTGTCTCTCTGTCCGTCACTGTGAGTCCCGTCATGGACCCCTCCTCTGGCTCCTCGCTGTGGGGGTCACATGACGCCAGAAGACTCCCTCGACATTTCACCACACACACCATATTAGACTTATAATGCCTACAGTGATGAGATTGGGGTGGGTGAGAGGATCACACAAATAATTGGCTAAAAAAAACAACATTTGAAACCTTTTATCACATTTGAAAAAAAACTGATAAATGGATCAGTGGATTTTTAAATCATTAATTTATGCAGAAACCTGGATATATTATTTCAGAAATTACAGTGATGAAGGGTTGCTAATGGGGGAGGGGCTGTCAGGTGGTTAAAATCTATTGATGAAAGACAAATAATTAGTTTTGACTTTCATGTTTTATTTCCATGTTGCTGTTGATGCTGTATTGATTGCAGCTATTTCCTGTCTGGCTGGATATTTTTTACTCTAAACAGCAACTCCAAATGAAAGGTAAAGGCTGGACTTTTCTGACAGTGAGATGTGTTTGTTGTGTGTTTCTGCTGTCATATTGGGAGCAGGCTGGAAAGCTTGTCTCATGCTAGACGGCAGGTTCTGTGTGGCTGTGGTTTCCACTGTCAGTCGCTTTATTAGGCTCCTGCTTCTGAACTGAAGTGCTGTGTGTTTCCCTGTCTAATAATAGGGTCTCAAAATCTTCAGTGTGTGTAGTTGTATCAATGTTGTGCAGACTTTTTGCATTGGTTGTCCACCTACAGTCTACAGCTGTACCACAAATATCAAGAGTTTAAGACTCCATGGCACTGGGAATGACATGTGTAACTTCACTTGTTGTTACCCAAGTATATTTTTTATTATTTAAAAGAATATAATTAATAATAGAATAGAATCGTTTAATGTCATTATACATGTATAATAAGATAATAAATGCTTCTCCCTTTCAAGGGTGCCATCAAAACAAAAACATCACAACATAAGACAACAAATACATGCAGCATACATACTTAGGAATAAGGAATAAAGTGCAGTAATTATTTCCAGGAGTATACAAATAAAATCTATAATGTAATAAATAATAATAGTAGTTTATTTATTTATAATAAATAATACATTTTAAGTCGTTTTTTAAACTGGAAAGATTGCCAATATACAGCCCCAAAGAATGTGGTGTCAATGACTTGAATCCTCCAACCAAGTTGCCAATTTAGACGGCAACATCTCAGAGAAAACTGGTATAAAAAAATATAATCAAATAATCAAAATGTGCAACCCAATTTATCACGTTTTTCAACCAACAGATTCCCAACTTATAGTCCACTGTGTTGCCTTGTTAGTCAACCAAATGGGCAAATAAATGAGGCACAGAGCCAGTACCACACCAACCTTAGAGCACCCCCACTGCTGTATTACCTGTACGCAGGTATGATCTGTGTGAGGTCCTCCTTGTATTGCTCCAGAGCGGCCCTGGCAGCCCGGGGCTCAGCCTGCCCCTCGAGGCCGGCCAGGTGCACCAACATCTGGGTGTGAAACGCTGCCCCGCTGGCCCAGTGCCTCAGAGACCTGGAGGATCAGACCGTAAGAACAAAACACACCTCAGCATTACTGTTCTTTAACACATGGACCACTATTTATATTATATTTTATTTTACTTACTTGCACTATTATCTGCTTTATTGTGTTGCACTGTTGGAGGAGCCTGTGACCTAAGATTTTCATTGTCATAACTACACTAGCTATGCACAAATGACAATAAAAGCCTTGAATCCTTGAATCTTGAATAACTCTCTGCTCTCCTCCATGCAACTATTGTGTGGTCTACTTTACACAATGCAGCTAATTACCAAGCTGGGGGTGGTCCTGAAGAACATCATGGGCGATAACAAGGCCTTCTTGATTTTAATGTGTGTTTAACGTATATGTACAGTTGGCATATATATATATATATATATATCAGGATTTTATACCAACATAATAATTTTTAATTTTAATTTTGACCATCTATTTATATAAACCAGATTTAGATTTAACTCAAAATACATGTTCAGAGACATCTTACACAAACATTTTGCAGATATTGTGTTCACTATTTGGGTTAATTGTACATGTTATCAGTTTTGCCGTTATTGTTATGCATAGAATATGATAAAGAATATCCATAACATATGTCATTTACTCAGGGGTACTTCAGTTTAATCAATGACAAAAAGTTGGCGCTTTAGAAAAGGATAGGAACCACTGCTCGATCCTGTGTGGCAGTAAACCCTGAGCAACAACTCCTTCAATCCCCTGTTTCCTGCTCCTCTGTTAATCTCTACTCCTCTGTGCTCACAGCTAGGGCTGCTCGATTATGGCAAAAATCATAATCTCGATTATTTGGGTCAATAATTGAGATCACGATTATTAAAAACGATTATCCATTTACTTTGAAAACATCCATTTATTGGAGAAAGAAAATTTGAACAGTATGTTTTTAACAGTTGATTACCCTGAACTTTAAGTATAATTCAACTGAAAAACCAAAAAATAAATAATAATAATATAATCGTTTTATATCGATTACGTTGTTTTTCTAATCGTTGCAAGCCATAATCGTAATTGCGATTAAAATACGATTAATTGAGCAGCCCTACTCACAGCTATTTTAATCTCTCACCTGGAGTCACAGTCTCCCCCCAGCAGGGAGGTCTTCAGCTGGGTGAGGGTGAGGCTGAGCTGAGCTTCAAGTCTCACAGAGTCCTGGATTAGTTTGCTTTTGTCACTCAGGTTGATCCTGCAGCGCTTCAGGTACTCCTCCGTCACCTCCTGCAGCTCCCAGACCCTCTGCTGGAGGGAGACAATGGATATGGTGACTTTTTGCAACAATCTTTATATTCGGTTTCATAACTCTCCAAGACTTTGTGTTTGTCCCTATATATAAATATACTCTATAATAGAACAATCTACTAATACAATAATAAAAACATATGACACAAGAAATACATGCATGGATATTGCAGTATGGACATTTTTTCAACAATCTTTATATTTGGATAAGGGGGTTCATAACTCTCGTAGACTTTCTGTGTCCCTATATTTAAATATACAGACTAAGTTAGAATACACTATAATAGAGCAATCTACTAATAAAATAATTTAAACATAGGAAACAATATGCAATATCAAAGTGTGCAAAGTAGATTGAATTGCAATTAAATGCAGTTAGGAAGTGTGAGTAAAATCTTTGGAAATTGTACAGGGGGTGTTTCTCAATGTCGAGGAAGGCTGCTCCAGAGACACTATTTCAAGGATACTACATCATCGAGTGCCGCCGAAGGACTGTTCCACTGTCCAGGATACTTGGAATTCTACCGAGGCCGGCGTACTTCGTCGCGGGACATTTCGAGGCTGCACATGTGTAGACTCTGCGGTCTTAAAATCCCCACAATGCTTTGCGCACGGACCAATTTCCTAATCTTTGGCGGAAATCGCGCTCCATTTAAGGCGGGGCCTCGCATATGACGCACACCTGTTAGCCTGTTCCACCACTCTTCGTTTTCCGAGGCCAGGAAGGATTCTTGCCTCGCTTCGAAGCAACTGACTCGGAGGTACATTTGCTACCAAGCAAGCCTCCTCGACATTGAGAAACACCCAGGGTATGTGAAAAAACACTCATAAGCAAACTTGTTTAAACAGTTGTCTTAGAAGTCTCAGTGGATGTATAGAGGAATGTGCTCTGTTGTAATATTTCACCAAGCACTCTTCATAAATCCCCTTCATTGTGTTTACCTGGCCTGATGACGACCCCGCTGACTTCCCTTTCACAGCTGATGGCTGTTTCGATGTGTAGGCCATATCCATCACCATGGAAACCACCAATCCCACCAGGCCGGCCAGGCGTAGCTCATCAGAGAAGGACGACAGTCGGCCAATCAGATCCTTCAGGTAGGTCGGCGCCCTTTTCCCAATGTCGCCCTGTAGCTGGGTGAGAAGAAGTAAACAGAAATGTGCTTCTTACCATACGTCACAAAACAATAGACATACTCTCTTTTTTTAAGAACAACTTTGCACTGCATTTTATCATCATGGTATTGATCTGCAACCTCTCTACGGCTACTTTTCTAATACTGAGTGGTGTTTCATTTTGCACAACCACTCTTTCTTAACTATCTCAAGACAACCACATCTTTCCTTCCCAACCTGTTCAGCTCCATCTGCTCTGCATGACTCAACAGATTAAAAAAACTAAAAAGCAGTTCACTCTCTCAGCCTTTTTCAGAGGGAGCATCATCATCTCATGTTTCTAGTCAGTTTTGCTCATAAACAGCCATTTTACTGTCACACTTGTCCTTTTAATTGTTATATACCTGTTTTAGTTGTTCCTGGAGGCCGGCCCGGGAGTCAAAGCTCTCTCCGTGATTGGATAAGAGGAGAGGGTGGACGACTTCGAGGTCAGGTACAGCGCCGCCTTCCAACATGGCGTCGTAGAGGACGAAACCCATCGCATCCTTCACCTGAGAAAGCTGTTCTTCTGATGAGAACAGTTGGCCCATGGTGGTGTTTGTGTGTGTGTGGACAAATCAGTAAATAATCAAAATGATGGCAGCATCTGGGGAAGAAGGAAGAAGAAAGGAAATTGCAGGTAAAATAGACAAGACAATTCTTCCGCATTAAATAACCTGTGCCAATAGTGAATCACATCCTTAGATTACAAAACAGTAAGTACAGTCTCTTATTATTATTTTTTTACATGATTTTAAACATCATATACTATAATCTTAAGGGTTTGAAGTTGTTAATGTCTTTAAACAACTCAAAACTAAAGAAAAATGTTTTTAAGATTGGATTATTAAGATTGAGATTCAATTTATTGTCATTACGTAGTACAGGTACTATGTAACAAAACGGTTTCTCTGCATTTGACCCATCCTAGTGTTAGGAGCAGTGGGCTGCCATTATGTACGGCGCCCAGGGAGCAGTGTAGGGAACGGTGCCTTGCTCAGGGACACCTCGGTAGCACTTGGTCTTTCCGGGAATTGAACTGGTGACCTTCCAGTTGTCAAGCCAAGTCCCTATGGACTTTGCCAACACCGCCTAGGATATAAACAAGATTTAAGACGTGAACAAAAGCTATATTCACAGAGCTGTCCCTCTCTGCTAAACAGCCTTGTCCTGCATTCAAATAAATGTGCAGTTTAAACAACCTAATAGGAAAATGGCTGGGCAACAGGCAAAAGAAAACACTGACATTGTCACAAAAAACACACTTTTAAATAAAAAAGTGAAGGCAATTTAGTGTATAAATAATACTTCAGCATTGATTAACCAGTGCAAATACTAAAATACATATAACATTAAGCCTAGGCTCTTTTACATGAGTATAAACATCATGTGATACTACTATGAGTTTGAACACAAGTTGTGAATGTGAACTTCATCTCAAGACCAAAGCAAAAGTAGATATTTAAGAAATACCACAAATATCAGTTAGACATAACATTTTCCAAATACCTCCAAATAGCTCCCTAACATTTAAAATGAAGGTACCAGCAGCATTTCAGTCACATATCTCATCTATCTACTAACAGTCAGTTGTGTTTTGGGCATACTCTCTTCACCTCTTCCTCCTCTTCCTCTTCCTCCTCTCCTGCTGCAGTAAAGAGATTATCCAAGACAACACCGCAGCAGAAAGTAACTCAGCATTAAACTAGAGCTCCCCCTATCTGCAGAGCCAGGAAATGCCACTGCTGTAAATGCTGGGGACAGTTGCTCATGTATTCAAAGCCAAGGCTGTCATTCTGTTAGGGGTTTGTCCCAGTAATCTCCATATGAGAGGGTTAATGTTGCCTTTCTGCTGTTGGTGCCTGGAGAATGAAAACCTCTGATAATAGATAGTTTGCCCTTTTTCTCATTAAGTGAATGCATGATATTGAAATTAAACTAATCCTCCTTGTGTTAGGGGACTTTGTGGAAGAGGACCTTGGGTAGTAATATAAACTCTGTATGGCTGTGTTAAACATTGTCAAAATAGGCCAAGGGCTTTCAGCTTTCTTTTTTTAGTTAAGTGGAACAGTGGCCTTGGGTGTTTGATGTTGACTTTTTTATTTGATGGAATATGGGGCAAGGGGATTTGGGATTGTGTGTGTGTGTGTAAGAGGTGTTCTTTGTTAACTGGGACAAGGGCTTATGCACTGCCAGGACTCAGAAGTGTGTGTGTGTGTGTGTGTGTGTGTGTGTGTGTGTGTGTGTGTTGTGTGTGTGTGGGTGTTTGTGTGTGTGTGTGTGTGTGTGTGTGTGTGTGTGTGTGTGTGTGTGTGTGTGTGTGTGGTGTGTGTGTGTGTGGTGTGTGTGTGTGTGTGGTTGTGTGTGTGTGTGTGTGTGTGTGTGTGTGTGTGTGTGTGTGTGTGTGTGTGTGTGTGTGTGTGTGTGTGTGTGTGTGTGTGTGTGTGTGTGTGTGTGTGTGTGTGGCTACACAAATGAAATGAGTAACACTGTGATTGAGATCATTTTAATGGGTGTTTTGTCTTATACTCATTTGGATTAAACCTGGTAGACATTCCTCAGTCATCTGTTATTCACAATCAGTGTTTTAGCCATCAAAAGGATTCAAACAGCTATGTCCTTTCCTGTTGGTGGGTTCAGTGGTTTGATGTTGTTATCTTTTGCCTTTTTTCTCTGATGACTTTAAAAGGAGACACACATAGCACTATCTTATTATAGGATTTAGCCAAATGTCTCTCTCATGATAACAACAGTTTAATTTTTTCAACTTTTTCAACCTGCTCAAATCAATGTTTTTATAACATTGAATCACATTTATTTCAATTTGAAACAGTTTGCTAACATTAGCCATGCCAAGTTTAAAAGGTAAAAGCATCTGAATGATGTGTTGTATTACAACTGCCCCAAGTGGCCAAAAAATATTGAATGCAGCTTTAAAACACCCTTTTTATTCAAGCAAAACTAATCAAAGAGCACATTAAGTTATTGTCAAAGCCAAGGTAACGGGAGGGCGTGGCTAACGATGTCCACTGTTTTCCTATCCTAGTGGACTGTAAAAAGTTACATTTTATATATATCATATTTTACACTCTGTCCAGGGCCAAAGCATTTATTTCAGGGAAGGGCAGCTTAGTCCCTTTATCAACAATCTGCTAAAAAGCCCACGTCTTTAGACTTGTAAAAGTACCAGCACTCAAGCAGATAACCAAACTTGGCTAAAACCAAGTGCTCTGCAAATAGAAAAATATGCATTTCCTGACAGAAGACGTTTTGACATGAAAAGCACCGGTGTAAATCAAGATTAATGATGGCTGAATTCCATTTAGCTTGGTCAGTCTCAGGGTCTTGAACAATAGTGCTTTCCCTGACGACAACGACAAAATGCCCGCTGTAAAAAAGGTCTAAGGAGATGATTTGTTTGAATTAATGTTGATAAGAAACAGTATAATATACATTGAAATCTGTACACATGGGAAGGGAATAATATAAGAAGAAATTACATATTTTATGAGATAGTCAATCCAGCACCAGACACTTGTTACGCTGCTATGCACAGTCTTGCACTAATGTAGGCTACATTTTTCAAAGTTATTGAAGTGACAGTTATTTTCTATATATTGATTGTTGTGCTTTTTATTTATGTCTAAATGTGTGCATATATAAATGTGTCTGTTGATTGTGTATATATATTAGGTATATACATATTTGTATACATATTTTCATATATCTTTGTTATTGTATTTGGGATTGTGGGAAACGGTATTTCGATCTCTCTGTCTGTACACACAAACTGAAAGATTGACAATAAAGTTGATTTGACTTTTGACTTTGGTTTGCTCACTTGTTTACGGTAGGTGTCACTGGGAATTTGACAATAACATGTTGATGTTTTAAAAATTGAAGGCGTTAAAGCTTTACACAGCAGGCATGTAACGACCCACACATGGGCCAACACACACCTTCTCCTTCTGTCTTTGCCTCCAGTCTGTTTTCCATCCTCCATCTCTTTCTTCGCCTGTTTTTGCTTCTGTCAGTTTGATGCTGTGCTCTCTGTCTCACACTCGCTCTCTCCATGGATGCTTGACATTGTTGACACACTTCAGACTCCTCTGAGGGCACTAAATATTTAAAAATGCTCACGTCATACACACATACTGTACACACATCAGCACTTAGAAATAGGCTTGGATGCACATATGTAGTGAATGTTCTCTGCTACCTCCCTCTCAGCCTTTTCTTTCAGTCGTACCCTCTCTCTCTAAAGGTCTCATTTCCATTTGAGAGTCGAGTAAAGATAAAAGGAAATAAAGTTGAGGAGAGGGCAGGAAACAGATGATGAAAGAAGAGAAGGGAAGAAGAGGGGAAGAGAGCCGAAGAGGAGAGTAAAGCAAAAGAAAATAATTAAAAGATAAAGTCAAGTTGATGTTCATATAAGAGAGGAGTTGACAGATGGACACACACACGCACACACACACGTACAATAATAGTCTGGCCTTTTGAAACCTCAGTGAATATTAATCATCACACAAAGAATGTGTAATTAGATAAGAGATAATGACATTTCATCAAGTTTAATTTTCATTTAGAAAAAACATGATTCAGGGAGTGGACGTTTGACATTTAAGTCTCTGTGAGTGTGTGTGTTATCTGTGTGTGTGTAAAGACAAAGAAAGGTTTCTGTATGTGTGTGTGTGTGTGTCATAATTCCTAGTTGCTGAAAATCACTGGCAAAAGAGAATTATGTCCAAGTATAACACTATTTTGTTGTTTAAGTTCGGATCTCTTGTGATGTAGGTGTCAGTGGGAAATCGTGGTGTACCGAACATTATGGTCTCAGTGATGTTTAAATTGTGTGACCAAAATTAATTATTTGACACCAACATGAACAAGTTAATGGTCGTGATGGTTTAGTTTGTCATCCCCTAACGTAGCAAACAAAGGAAAGGAAACAGTGGAACTTGGTTTCCCCTCAACCTGCCCTTGTGTTTTTAACATTTTGCGGGTACACTGAAAGGGGAGTAACCCTAACCCCTCCTTGTAATAACTTAAGCATCACTTGATTCCCCCCAATTTCATTCCTTTGTGTGAATAATTGTTCTATGCAGAACGTTAAATCTGCTAATATCCTGCATCCTGCCACACTGTTTATATTGGTGTCGCTTTCCCTTCATAACATCTATGCTGCACTAATAAGTTCAACGTGATAAAACAAAGCTAGTTTTTTTTCTCTTTCTTTGTAATTATCATTTTCCTTCCATTTATTTTCTGTATTCCGTGACTCCTTCCTCTCGTCATCCTTTCTTCTCTTCCTACCTCGATCTCTTTTATCCCTCTCCCTCCTTCCGGGGTGTGGAGGAGAATAAAAACAAGTTTAATATACAATAATACATCACGCCATGACAGGTCTGCCAAGCAGCATCCATTTTGTGAAGCTGTTGTGTTCACTTAGCAGCATTGGGGCTAATTATTGCAAATGGCAGCTGTTGGAAAGAGTATTAATGTATTCTTTCTACATGGATACATCCAATATTATGGGCTGATGAAAGTAGTCACAGGCTAAACTTTAAAGAGAACGAGAGTGACAAAGAAACAGGGGGAACGGGATTGTGTCTTGTTGGTTAAAAGCCCAGTAAATCCAACTGCATCCATTTTAATCAAACCTGTCACTGACTCGGAGTACTGTAATCATTATTCACCTTGCAGCCCAATAACGTTTTATATCGAAAGCATTTTAGTGTAACAGGGCCTCTGACTGTGAGATGAGGAGCTGTATACAGACAGAAACATTATTCTGCAACCTGTTTAATATTCTGAAGAAGGAACTCACTTAACGTTTTTAGATAAAGACATGTTGTGCTAATTGGATGACGGGTGCATTTGTCAAATAAATGTAATGTAGCGAAAAAATAAGTGTGCAGTGTGGATCGTGTCAAAGTGGGGATTCTAATGAAGGCAGCGTACTGAGGAAATGCTCAGTTTAATTTATGCTGTAATACTTCTCAACTTCTACAAAAGGGATTGTTACCCAATTAAAAAACACTCATGTATGCTTTCCAGATAATGAATGAATATGCTTTGCTTAAAGGTGGGGTATGTAATTTTGGAGAAACCAGCTCGAGTGCGCTAGAATTTGAAAGTACACAACCGGAAAAAATCTGCCCCTTCATTACAGAGCCCCTCCTCCAACACACACGAACGTGCACATGACCAATGAGGGCACGAGATAAGTTTGTGCACAGATGGAAGGCTGACAGGCAGGTAGGCCATCCAGCTATTTTAGCCGGGCCGGCTCAGATGATTGGTCGTGCTTTTTACAGCGCCACGGCTTCCACAGGTGACATTTTTGAATGGATTTTTTGTCAAAGCATTTAATGTATTCATTGCTATCGGGATGTTAAGAGCATTCCATGGAATATAACAAAAAGCGTTTCTGAAATAAATTACATACCCCACCTTTAACGAACATTTCTCTTTAATCCTCAAACCAAATAAGTATTTGAGATATTCATTGTGTCAGATCAGGTTGATATGTTGTCTCAAAATGTCTGCAGAGAATCAGTTGTTAATAATTAGTATGAAAAATGTAACATTTGCTCCCAAAAGCAAGACACTTATTG